CCGTTGCGAGTTTGTTGCGCTGTACAGCGGATGAGACAAATAATGTCGAAGTTGTCAACAGGGGCGCCGCAGTCTGCAGTCGCAGCGCATACAATAGAGATCATAATATTCATAATACTGGGGGGGGGGTGGTGAAGTTCAGTGCCTGATTACCGTATATGACACAAGATAACACACCCCCTTGGCCGATTTTCAAAGCTCGATTTCTCAACAGCAGGAAGAAGAGTCACAGCGCCGAAAACGGCGGCGTTGGAACCGTCTCGTCGAGAGCTGTTCGAAAACGTATTGTTTCATTTATGCATCCTCTTCGTCGTGGAGTAATCGAGCTTTGAAAATCGGTCCAGGGGGTGTGTTATATTGTGTCATATACGGTATGTAGGAACCTTTTTTTTTTTTCCCTATTATTGTTGTTGTTGTTGTTGATGTTGTTGTTGTCCGTTCCGATCTCTCTCTACCCAGTACCTTCGTATGTCCGTACTGATCCAACACTCGACGCGGTCGATTCCCGTGGTCACAGGTTAACTTACCCTAAAAAGGTACACTCAAATAACCTGGCCCCGAGGGGTCCGCAAGTCAATAGAAATCAACGACAGATATTCTGGAATCCTCCACTCCCTCTTCGCGCTATGCGAGGTATCAACTGAGACTAGCAGTCACTATCTATCATGGGCCGGAGAGAAAGAGGTACACCCCCTTGGTTCAATCTTGGTATTTCACAACGCAAGCAGAGACAAGGCCATCTGGCACAGAATGAGAGAGAGAAAAAAAAAAAAAAAAGAACCGTAATAAAATGAAAATAAAATGAAAAAGGGCGAGGACAAAAAGGGACCAGGCCGAAAATAACAAGGCACACTATCCCTTTGATACAACTCTGAGGGGGCTCGCAGATGGCATCCTGCATCCCGCCAGTTGATACTGGGTCTGCTGTAGTGCTTTGCTGTTTGATTCCTCCGCGCAAGAGGCAGATTGGGACGGGGTCAAACAAGAAGGGGAGGAGCTCTGTCTGGGTTCAAAGTCTTGGAGTGGTGAGAGGAGCGTGATACTGCAAGCGGGATACCGCACTCGCCCCTGCGACCCGTTTTATTCCTTTCGTCGTTGAGTTGAGTTCCCGATTTGTTCTCTGCACCTTGGGCTTGCTTGGGGGGTACTACTCTGGTACACTTCCTGTTGGTCGAGGCGTGCCCAGGTTTTCATGCCATCTGGAAAGAATGCCGCAGCCAGCTGTACGATGTATTTTCTCTTCCAAATACCGACCAGCGCTCTGTGTGAGCATGTAGCTACGCTGTTCGTGTCCCCGCTGTCCAAATCTGAGAGCAGAAAAAAACGAGTAGTCTACTGCTATATCCCAACATCCCGTGCGTTTCGCGCCGGCGGGAACGCGGGAAGCGCATTGCCTAACCCTAACCCTAACCCTAAATCCTAAGAGAGTAGACGGTCTACGGTACTTAGGTTCTCTCACGCAGTTCATCGAATCCCACCAACGTAGTCTATTGCACGGTGCACACCAGTGTACAGCTTTCAGACTGGCATAGCAGGGCGTCTTTTGCAGTACTGCTGGTTGCACCTGTTCCAATTCTCCCGCATTCTCCCTTCATTGGTGATCGAGAGGTGCCATGACTCCAAATCGCAGGCAGGTTGGCGGGGTGTTTCGGGATTAAAATTGCTGAGGCCGTGTCGCGAAATCAATTCCGTGCAGGTTCCCTGAGCAATGTCTTCCACGGACCGTGAAGCACTGATTGCCCTGTTTCGTTCGACCGGCGGGGCTGGGTGGATGCGAAGAGACAACTGGGACACAGATGCTGTCCTGGGGACATGGCATGGAGTCAAAGTCAACGACCAGGGCCGGGTGGTCATGCTTAGCCTGGATCAGAACAACCTCCAAGGTTAGTTCTTCGGCATTTGGAGCTTGCACGTGATTTCCTCTGGAGATAAATGTGCTTGCCCATCCATACGAATTCGTCAGTTAAGATGCTTGATCCTTGCTTGCAGCTTCTAGAACAAGTGTGCTCCCGACGGCGTTGGTATGCGTTTCTACAGAAGTCGGGATTAATGCTAGGCTTCAAGTTGTACCCTTGGAATGGGAAACACCGTACATTCCTGTGCCTAAATAGTGACTCACCGCTGAGCTGGTTACTCCAAAGGTGGAGCATCTTTAGTGCCGCAAGGTTCCCCAGCTCGGGCGGAATGGGGCCTGCAAGCATAAGCGAAAATACAATTTCGCGGGGGATCAGCAAAAATTTCCCGGCTTTGAGGACACTGGCTATTGTCGGAGACAGATGCCGGTGCCGTGGCAGTATTATCCCACTGCCAAGGGAAGGCTATTTCCTCTCGTGATGTGTAAACGAGGAGAAGAGGGTAGAAAGAGAGAGTGGCCATAGCGGCAGAGGGAGAGGAGAGTCGAAGACTCTCCGCTTCCACTTTCGGCAAGTGGCCAGGGACTTCGGAAGATATCCATCTCCGACGGTGCATTTCCTGTCACTCTCCTTGTGACAAGATACCCCGAGGGAGCCATATCTTCCTACACTTTGTATGTGCACACATGGTTGGTTATACTCGTGACAGGTGTCCTCCACAGCTTCTAGAATACCTACTCACCAACCGGCGGACGCCAACGCCTAGCAAAAGATACCCCGCGAGTTCCGCAATTGTGAAATTTCGTACTCGCCTACGCGGCGGGACCGATGTTCTAGAAAGCGGGTGATATATTTTACTTTACCCCGCTGAATTGCCCGGCTTTGACTCGTTTGTCTACAGGCCACATCCCGCGGCAGCTAGGAGATCTTGGCGCCCTCGAGACCCTCAACCTCGGCTTCAACAAGCTAGATGGTGAGTTGAGTAGTAAAAAAATATATTTTTTCTTTCGACTTCTGAAAGGATTCTTATTTCGTGAACAAGAAAACTTTCAACTCTTGTTCGATTCTCTCACCTGTGAGGTTGTTGTGGTCGAGCCAAAGCGTCTCCAGCCTACTAAGTGCTCCCAGCTCCTTGGGGATGGGTCCTGCACAAGAATGCAGCAGGGAGCAAATATCAGCGAGGACAGTTGTAGAAAAAAATGCGTAGGAAAAGATGTCCCGCGAGTTCCGAAATTGTGAAATTTCGTACCCGCTATTTCTGAAGTTTCGTGGACGCCAACGCATAGGCGGGTACGAAATTTCACAATTGCGGAACTCACGGGACGTCTTTTGCTACGCGTGTCGGTGAGTAGGCGGAGAAGCGTTTAGTCAATTCTCTGTTTTTCTCGTACTGCTCTCCTGCTTGCAGGTCGTATCCCTCCGGAGCTAGGGAAGCTTGGCGCGTTGAAGACACTCAGACTCAGCGTCAACAAGTTAGATGGTGAGTCCAGAGATGAAATCCATTTCATTTACTATTTTGTTGGCACAAGGTACATGAATCTCGCCGACGCATCGGCGGGATTCATCTTGGAAACTGGAACAAAATTACTTACCAGTTAGCTCGTTCCCCCTAAGGCTGAGGTACACCAGTACGGCGAGCCGTCCAAGCTCCACAGGGATGGGACCTGCAATCGAAGGAGAAAAAACGAGAACACAGTACCCATAATGTAGCGGGAAGAATCAAAGTTAAATGCCCCGGCTTCTAGAAACACTTACTCAAAACGCAACGCGTAGCAAAAGATGTCCCGCGAGTTCCGCAATTGCGAAATTTCGTACTCACCCACGGCGTGTTGGTGATCAGTTGTTCTCGAAAGCGGGGATTGCATTGTTTTTTCCCCGATGATCTCGTTTTGCTCTTCTGCTTGCAGGCCCCATCCCACCGGAGCTTGGAGATCTCCGAGAGCTGCGGGAGCTGTGGCTCTACAAGAACAAGCTCACAGGTAAGCTTATTATTTTGGCAGTCGTTTCAATATTGTTAGCCTTGATTCTGGATGAATCTCGCCGATGCGTTGGCGTCCACGAAACTTCAGAAAAAGCGGGTACGAAATTTCACAATTTCGGAACTCGCGGGACATCTTTTCCTACGCATTTTTTTCTACAACTGTCCTCGCTGATATTTGCTCCCTGCTGCATTCTTGTGCAGGACCCATCCCCAAGGAGCTGGGAGCACTTAGTAGGCTGGAGACGCTTTGGCTCGACGACAACAACCTCACAGGTGAGAGAATTGAACAAGAGTTGAAAGTTTTCTTGTTCACGAAATAAGAATCCTTTCAGAAGTCGAAAGAAAAAATATATTTTTTTACTACTCAACTCACCATCTAGCTTGTTGAAGCCGAGGTTGAGGGTCTCGAGGGCGCCAAGATCTCCTAGCTGCCGCGGGATGTGGCCTGTAGACAAACGAGTCAAAGCCGGGCAATTCAGCGGGGTAAAGTAAAATATATCACCCGCTTTCTAGAACATCGGTCCCGCCGCGTAGGCGAGTACGAAATTTCGCAATTTCGGAACTCGCGGGACATCTTTTGCTACGAGTTGCGTTAATTGAAGTGTTTCTAGAAGCCGGGGCATTTAGCTTTGATTCTTCCCGCTACATTATGGGTACTGTGTTCTCGTTTTTTCTCCTTCGATTGCAGGTCCCATCCCTGTGGAGCTTGGACGGCTCGCCGTACTGGTGTACCTCAGCCTTAGGGGGAACGAGCTAACTGGTAAGTAATTTTGTTCCAGTTTCCAAGATGAATCCCGCCGATGCATACACGGGATTCATACTAAAATTCGATCACAAAATTTTAGATACTCACCGCTCAACTGGTTCCACCCGAGGTTAAGCGCTTGCAGTGCTGCCAGGTTCCCCAGCTCCAGTGGGATGGCACCTGCACCGAAAAGACGAGACTAATTTATTCAGCGGGGGAAAGCACGAAAAATGTCCCGCCTTCTAGAGAAATGTTCAGCCGATGGCTTCCTTAACACCTACTCACCCACGCGTTGGCGTCCACGAAACTTCAGAAATAGCGGGTACGAAATTTCACAATTTCGAAACTCGCGGGACATCTTTTCCTACGCATTTTTTTCTACAACTGTCCTTGCTAATATTTTCTCCCTGCTGCATTCTTGTGCAGGACCCATCCCCAAGGAGCTGGGAGCACTTAGTAGGCTGGAGAGCTTTGGCTCGACGACAACAACCTCACAGGTGAGAGAATCGAAGAAGAGTTGAAAGTTTTCTTGTTCACGAAATAAGAATCCTTTCAGAATTCGAAAGAAAAAATATATATTTTTACTACTCAACTCACCATCTAGCTTGTTGAAGCCGAGGTTGAGGGTCTCGAGGGCGCCAAGATCTCCTAGCTGCCGCGGGATGTGGCCTGTAGACAAACGAGTCAAAGCCGGGCAATTCAGCGGGGTAAAGTAAAATATATCACCCGCTTTCTAGAACATCGGTCCCGCCGCGTAGGCGAGTACGAAATTTCACAATTTCGGAACTCGCGGGACATCTTTTGCTACGAGTTGCGTTAATTGAAGTGTTTCTAGAAGCCGGGGCATTTAGCTTTGATTCTTCCCGCTACATTATGGGTACTGTGTTCTCGTTTTTTCTCCTTCGATTGCAGGTCCCATCCCTGTGGAGCTTGGACGGCTCGCCGTACTGGTGTACCTCAGCCTTAGGGGGAACGAGCTAACTGGTAAGTAATTTTGTTCCAGTTTCCAAGATGAATCCCGCCGATGCATCGGCGAGATTCATCCATGGATCAATGCTAGAAAAAAATCAAGCCGACCATCAATATAAAATAGGTACCTGTCAGGCGGTTGTGGTTGAGATATAGCGTCTGCAGCCTTCGGAGATCTCCTAGCTCTG